GCAGTAATTATGAATAGTAATGACAGTAAATATCGAGATTAATATAAAATGTTTTACATTGTTATGGTAGACATAATGGATGTTCTCTTCACTCTTCAAATTCTGAATTATTCTTGTACTGCATCAACTTTGTCCCTTGACCCAAAATGAAGCGTGGAAGATCTGCGTGCGAGAACATCCATTGAGTACAATGATGGATTAAAGCAAATTCATAAACTAGGGATGTGAACAGAATTGACTAAAATCATCTATAAATTCTTTAATGTAGTACATAGATGCATGAATTGCATGTGTAGCATTGCATGTGTAGCATTGCATGTAACATTGCATGGTTGTTTACAGAGGCCCAGTTCACACCCAGCAATAAACACCAACAACCAAAAGAAAACTAAACTTCTCCAAAGACGACATGTAATGTATTAAACCAATATTAAACTATTAAAAAAACATCAAAATAAAATATTAAACTAATTACTATATATTACTGCACAATTTTAAATTTTAAATTTCCCCAATAGAACCAAAAGCCTCAACACAAGGAAGGGAGGAAAATCATATCGAAGATTAAAATGAGAAATAGCAAAATTACTGAAATTGTCAATCATTTTATAAAAATCATGATAATAAAAGATAATCAATAAATAGATAAAGACCCCTATAAAAGCAGCTTTCTCAGCAACRTTTATCGCTCCTTTGGTAAAATTAATTGGATTGATATGGTGCGTTTAATAACCTATTTTATTTCCTTATGCAGCGTAAAGTCAAGACCAGTTTTGGTAAATTTGTCAATCCATACACTAACCGATTCAATAACGGGATCCCTACGTATTCCCARGAAAGGATTCAAGAACGAGCTCGAAGGGTGAGTATGATTACAATTTAGGAACACAGGCCGCCCTATATAAGCTTGAAAGAAAGAAAAGAACCAGTGCGTTTATGTTATTGACGCGCGCTCTTAGCAAAATGCGGATTACCTGTGGTATTACGTCATGATCTCTTACCTCGCGCGCACGATCAAAAACTAGTCTGTGTTTTCTCTCAAGCAATAGTTTGGCGGATTACTGAATAAAGCCTAGTTTTCACTAACGACGCAAGAGCAAGCGCAGAATCAAGGGCAAAAAGTTGCCTTTGCGCTTGAGTTTCGTTTTCACTACCAAAATCAAGTGCAAGAACAAGAGCAAAAGGAACAATTTTGATATCTTGCGTTTGCTTTATCACTGCTTTGAGGGGTTTCCACTATAAAAAAGTCCTCTTGCGTTTGCGCTTGCTTCTGTGCCTGCTCTAGCGTCACTACTGAAAACCAGGGTTAATACCATTAGATCTAACAAAGTTATTATCATTGATGGAGACCCGTAAAACATTGTTTCTACAGAAAGAGATGGAGAAAGAAGAGAAAGACAAGAACAATGACATTCAGGTAATGCGCTAACTTTACAAAGTCAATTTCGAGACTAGAGTTTACCCTAAAAGAATAAAGATTTGTAATACAGGGAGAAATCATAAATCATACATCGGAAAAGAAGGAAAACTTACTGTGGCTTTGAACTTTAGAAGCTTGACGCTCATATAGAGTTTTGCCGATAAAAATTGAATGGGAATGGATCTGAAAAGTGGGATTTGGAAAGAAAATTGTCTGGTAAATGTTTTTGAAGGCACTTCTCCTAACAGCTGTAATTTTTTTTCTTTCAATCAATCTTTTAGCAAGCGAATGGAGGAGAAACGTCTTGTGGTACAGACTCAGTTATCGCGTTTACAGACAACACAGAGCTGAACTTCGTCACAGCTCAGCGTCGTGTGACATACTGCATGATAAATCGACAAAAACCAACCTCTTACGTACGTTCCGTCTCTCATCCCAACATGACAGTCCTTCCAAGTAACTCAACGGACATCGAGTCGTTTAGAATGGACCACTTAGACGGCGGTGGTTACGGATTTTCCGTCAAATTCCCAGCAAAAAGTGATCGCGATCGATTRGAAAAGCGAGAGATGAAGAGGCATGGTAGACCAGCATCACTTCAAAGCTTTGAGGAAGCTAGAAGCGTGAATGGCTCCCCTTCCTTTATTGAAGTCGATCCATACGATATCGATCCGTTTACGGACGTTACCGCTGAGAGACGCACGAGATACGTAACAAAGTMTACSGAACGTAAAMGAGATATGGTTCCGTATAACGAATACGCAAGAAATGCTSAACGGAGCAGAACTMAGGACTTAGAAACAATGCTACGTTTAGTGAATGGCCATAAAGGTTTTGAAGGGGACTTGCTGGCCGAGTTTGATAAGTTGAATGTACGGAAAAGACATCAGCAGAAGCGCGCTGTACGTACGAAATCCAGCGACGAACCGTCAATTAACAACCGATCTACCGTAGACCTTAGAACGCCTTTRTTCCCGTCATGYAAAGACAACGATTATGAGGAAAAGTGGCTTAGCGAACAGGAAAGTCCTKGTCCAAGGTTTGAACCCTCGCATTCGATACCTTCRTATTCTGCTATTGGTTATGCAAGTCCAACTACAAGCAGAAAAAATATCTWTAGATAACAAATTTAGTTTCTTCAAATTGAATTCTGAAAGATATAAATTATATATTATATTTTTATATAACTCATAAAGACAAAAAATGATGAAAAATTTAATGTGGGTGTTTGTTTTTTGTTTTTTTTCAATTTGCAAAAAGTTCTTTTTTTTTGTAAGTTTATTTCTATAACCTTGCTATCATGCAATTCCAACATTGACAATTCCAAGAATTGCCAACCAATTTTCAAGGATCAATATTGTTTGTTGTCCTTACTGTAAAACTGTCCTCAAAGAATTCAGTTTATGTACAAGACTTATCTGGTATCACTTCTGCAGATATATGTGGTACTAAACACAATATTCTCTTTGCCGTCATGTCCAACCAAGGAAAATATGACTTGCAATCATTGCAAGCTTGCTATATRAATTAATGCAAATACTTATTTAAGTGAAAACAACACTATCTTACAAAATACAATATATATTTTCTAATATTTACAGAAATAAAAACTATGCATTTTTATATGTGTTCTTAGAAGTCTGTTTCTTCTCATGTGATGTTAGTGATGTTTGCTTAGGATTGCTTGTGATGCAATTTTCTTTGAAAACAGATTGCTGTTCCATCACTGCGTTTGGGTGTGTTAGATGACCTTGAGTAAATTCCTTGCCCTTAGCATCACAAGTGCTTGTGATTCTGACTGTGTTTGGGTACGTCAGTCTTGCCTTATGATAGAATTCTCTCTGTTTCTAATCCAATTTCATCCTCTAACAGCTCATTGACACGACCTCTCTAAAAAAAGAGATGATATTTTAGATATCAAATATGGGTGGCTTTGCTTTGCTGCAAAATGAGCACAAGAAAAGTGACCACAAAGGATAACAAAGGCATGATTCTCTTCCATAAAAGATGATGTTTACCTCGGACTTTCCCAACAAATCTCTGATGCATATTTTGTCTGTGTAAGGGGGAACAAGACTTTGTAATCGTACAGCTTTTAGAGCAGTTGGTTGACATGAAATAAGGTGGTTCACTTCAGATGCCTGTAAACAATGAGTGTGGAAATGTTATTGTTAAGTCAATAATGAGGTATTGATGATGATTATTATTATTATGGTAATGAAAGCCTGTTACAGAAGTGGACTGGGGAAGAGAGAAAGAAGGGGGCTGGGGATGAGAGGAAAGATTGGGAGAATCTACGTAGCACTCAGTTGATGTAATATATTCATAAAGATATAATACAAAACACATAATATGGAATACAATACATTTTATGAATACATTACATCAACTGCGTGCTACGTAGGTCACCCCAGGAAAAATTTAACACTTCCCCAGTCCCCCTCTTGACAGGCTAATGCATTATTATAAGGTACACTACAAGACATACTTACTCTATTGTTGTCATATCTTAGTCGCATCAATCTCAGTCTGTTTCTTGCCTCTGCAGCTCTACAATCAAGAGTAATGAAATTATGAAGAAAAGAAAATGTAACATTCTTACACCATATTAAAATCTATAAACCATATGCATTGATGCAATACATGCTTGAATGACTAGAAAACATTTTGGAGGGTTTAAGAGTTCAGGTTTATCAGTGCATTCCAACAAGCAACACAAGAAATAACAACCACAAGTAGCGCCTTTTGTATTGATGTTAAATACAGAGATTCTCCAAAGCATGGAAGAAACTCTCCTTTAAGCCTCCAAAGCATGCATGAATTCAATAGAAGTTTCATGTGATGGGATAGCATAGCTTACTTGAGCTGTCCAATCAGATTGATATGTCTGTCCTCCTCTAGCTGGTCTTCAATAGGCCTTGGTCTTTCTTGCCTGAATAAAAATTATTGTTACTATATTTCTGTGACAAACTGGTGTTCCAGTTAAAAATGTAATAAGCAAAATAATGTTCTTACAAGTTCTTTTCTTTTTTTCTTTCTTTCAGTCTTTTTCTAGCGGCTGCCATAGATTCACCACATTCCTTAGATGGCGACTCRTACTGTAAACAAATTTAACATTARTATTTTCATACATCACAATAAAAGAACTGCTYGGATTGAAAGCTTACCGCCAAGTATTTGCTTCGTTCTAACGGAGAAAGCTTTTGCACTTCTTTCTTGCTCAAACTCTTCCAATTTTTGGCTTGAAATTTCTCTCGCGGGCTCTGTCTTCCTCCCGGTTTCGGGTCAGGGATTTTCGGAAGTTTAACAGCTGACTCTGATTCCTAAAACAATGCAATCATCCTCATAAATTCGATAATTTTCCACCGAAATACAACGAAGTAACTCCACATTTTCCAAAGATCAAGTGGCTCGTGCGTCTTGGTTTATCAAACAAAAATTCATCTAAATTTACCTCGATTTCTAAACATTACTTACCATTATGTTAAGGACTTACTCCCCTTGGTAAATCACAAAGATATTTGAAGAAAAAGGACCAAATCCGCATAAAAATTCAGCTTTTTTTCTTCATATTKACTCCTTCCTTCACAGATGAAATATACCTTTGTTGTTTCTATAGAAACAGCATGAAGTCGAGTCTACATTTCTCATGCATCCGCTGACAACTGTGTTCGCGGGCTGTTCACGTGTAARATTTGAAAGAAACAACAACACGAACATGAAGGTGAAAATATTATCGCGGAATCCTGAAGATCACGTTAGAGAGCGTTCTTCTGAYATTCACAAGTTACATAGGAATCTAGACCCTAGTTTACATCCATTTGAAGCACCCAGGGAGTACACAAGGGCGCTGAATGCGACAAAATTGGAGAGAGTATTTGCGAAACCWTTCGTTGGAGCTCTAGACGGYCATACAGATGGAGTCAACTGCTTAGCTAGACATCCTAAAAGTCTCTCTGTCTTGTTATCGGGTTCCTGTGATGGGGAAGTAAGTATTTTGTGTAATAATTTAATCTAGTGTTAAGTGATCTGTCACTCAGTCAGACAGACAGTCAATCAATCAATCAGTCAGTCAGCCAATCAATGTTATCAGCGAGTACTGATTCATCCTTTTGACAATCAATCAGTTAGTCAGTCAATAACTAACTAACTTACAATGTGACATGCCATTCTAGTCATTTGAGAAACACGGCTGGTGAAGCTTAAAGGGACACTGTCAATGGCACGCATGCGCTAGTAAAATTGAAAACACTAGGCTAGTGTTTTCAAGTTTATGACTCTAAGTTGGCGCAACATAAATCAGCTCGTAAACGTAAACAGATCTAGAATATTCCAAAGTGTGTCAAAAGCACCACAAAATGATTTACCTCGAAGGTAATACTTTCAAAGTCCGTTAGAGGTGAGACTGTTACTGCTCATGTCATCCATTGAAAGTGTCCCTTTAAGTAATGTTTAAAGGCCGACAATGAGGACTTGACGGGGTTTCAAAGTCCGCGCAATTAGTTCCAGTCCGAGGCGCTAGCCGAGGACTGGAACTAATTGTAAGGACTTTGAAATCCCGTCAAGTCCGAATTGGAGGCCTTTGAACGACTTCAAAAACTCATTAATTATTCGGGAGGGAAAAAAAGCGAAGGAAATACATATAACAGAAATATATTGATTTATTGCATCTCCACTAAGGTTTTCAGTTTTCATAATTTTGAATACATGAAGCACCGTTTGTTGTTCTTCAATTCCCGGACGGCTTTCTGAAACAAAAGCTATTCAAATTGTCTTTGTCTGCTATTCATGGCATTCCTAATGAGCCTAATCCATAAGATTTATAAGTATGTTATCTTCCGAGGAATCGCATCAGAAACTCGGTGGTGTAATGGTATAAGACGGCGCATATAGACTGGACGGTAGGGGATCGAGTCGTGAGGGAGTCATGTATCAAAGACCTTTTTTCACTAAATTAATGTTAAACTGATTATTTCTAATAATTTGATTATCATTAGCTNACCAAGATCTCTACATATAAAACCATCACACTACATGTAAATTTCAGCATAAAATTCCAGGCATTGTTTGTTTGTTTATGGAGTTATTTTTATCAGGTTGGAGATGATAAAGTTGTCAAGATTTGGAGCATGGAAGAAGCCTTAGGGACTTCAAACACTGAACCTTCAAATACAATCATTGCAAAGGTTTTATGATTTTAGATTTATTTGCAGAGTCAGTCTATTGTGATTAACATTATTCCAAGCTTTCTTTACATGACATTGACTGTACATATTGTACTGCAGAAACCACCATACATGTACATGTATGTCCTTCCCCACTACAACTGTTGCACAGCATATTACTTTTCATTCTATCTGATTTTATTCTAAACAACTTTTCATGTCAACAGACAATGCTAACAGGCGTTGATCATAGTTGGAAGGATGCAACATTTGCTACATGTGGACAACAACTTGACATATGGGACGACACAAGAGCAGCTCCYATTAGAACATTCACTTGGGGTGTGGATACTGTACATAGTGTGAAGTTTAACCCAGTAGAGGTGAGACAGGCATAACATAAAGAATATCACAAAATTTCACATTCTTCACTACATAATACTTTTATTTTCTACTTTTCAAACAGACAAATATTCTTGCAAGTACAGCYAGTGATCGTAGTGTTGTCCTCTATGATACCAGAGGCTCAGCACCATTACGTAAGCTTGTCATGGCAATGCGAACTAACACAGTAGCATGGAATCCAATGGAGGCTTATATYTTTACTACCGCCAACGAAGACTCTAACTTATATACCTATGATATGAGGCGGATGGACCAGGCTGTAAATGTACATATGGACCATGTAATGGCAGTATTAGATGTCGACTATGCACCGACAGGACAGGAATTTGTATCTGGAAGTTTTGATAAAACAATAAGAATATTTAAACGTGATGGTGGACATAGCAGGTAAATTGAATGTCCTTTTTTTATGTGTTTTTGTTGCTGTTGTTTTGTGGGCAGTGCTAGGTAATGTTTAAAGGTTGCTAATGAGGACTTAAAGTCTGTGCAGTTTTCTTCAATGCTACTATTTCCTTTATTTTTCTTTGCTTTTGTTTATCTTCATGTAGCTTTCCTTGTATGAATTTGTTTGAATGCCTTCTTTTCCATTTATGTTCTTATTATCTTTATATCTATACATGTACATATTGTTTTATTGTAATGGTAGGTTTGTTGAAGTCTGTTATGTATGTTTTTAGGGAAGTGTACCATACAAAACGCATGCAGAGAGTTTTCTGTGTCARGTTTAGTGCAGATTCCACATTTGTGTTGTCRGGCAGCGACGAAACAAATATAAGGTACATTAGGTCATTTATTGATTGAACTAGATTTTACTCTCACATCCATTAGCTCATTAATTATCTCATTCATCCATTTGTTCATTAGTTTTATAGTTAGTAATTGCATTCATTTATTTAGCCTTCTTTCCATTCATCTATCATGTCATCCATTCATTATTTCATTCATTCATTCATTTATTCAGAATCATATATTTATCCATTCAAACATTAGTTATTCCATTCATTTGTTTATCCATCCATCTTTCCATCTATCCCTCCATTCCCTTCCATTCATTCATTCATTCATTTTTCCATCTGTTCATTTACTATGTCCATTCAATCAGTCCATCCGTCCATTCTCCAGTTTTTATCTTATTTTTTCCTTTTCTTTCATGCAACCATTCAATTTTCTAATAGTTATTYTCTTGTTGTTTCAGAATATGGAAAGCAAATGCCTCGCAAAAGCTTGGTGCTGTAAGTATCATGYAGTTTCATAAAAAAAATCACGCAAAGTTTCTTGGAGACACATGGACCTTTAATTTTCCAGACAACATGGGCTGTTTCAACCAACGTTAGAAATCGTTATACAATATATTGTTCACAGTCGTCTGAGGATATAGAAGGGTGTGAATTTAAGGAGTCAAGTTCAAGAAATTTGTAATAATTATCAGTAATAGTGTGGGAGATTTTTCCTTCATCATTTTCTTTCTTTCATCAAAATATATTTGATATTAATGCCAGTGTCTGTGATAACAGGTAATTCATTATTTACATGTAGTTGGGTGAAACTATGACTAGTCCAGTATGTATTATTAGTGTTTATATCTGCTATGACATTCCTATTTATAGCTGGCACACAGAGAAAAAGCAGCTTTCTCATATTCAGCAAAACTAAAAGAACGTTTCAAGCATCATCCAGGAATACGACGTATTCAAAGGTAGAATTTTGCTTTTGTCAAGTTTTTTTGCAGTGTTTACTAAGTGTTCCATGTAGTATTAAAAGTGGGGTCAGACAATTCTTAATGTAGCCTGAATAGAGGCCAAAACAAGTAACAAACATATCATCCATACTATACTTTCTGTTACAAGAATGGACTGACATTAAACCAAGTTGTCTGAAGATAGTACAGAACATATCATTCCTTACCAGTCAGCATTTTAAACTCGATTTGAGCTTCTAATCAAGTCCAAATGAGAGATTCCTATTCTTGCGTATATTGTGTCCACAGTATGGAAAAGAGGTCAAAGTTAACTATGCCTTTTAGCTTAAACAACAGTTGTTGTTTTTTCGCAGGCATCGACATGTTCCTAGAGCCGTATACAAGGCAGCAATAGAAAAAAGAATCATCGCCGAATCAGAGAAAAGAAAGTGAGTACACTTCTGCCAATCATTATATCATCATTATCATTGCTATTATCATCATCATTTTTTGTTCTCCATCAACTTTTTACATATGCCAAATAATACTTAAAAGAAGAGAGGGGAGGGAGCAGAGGTCCAACATTTTGCAATGGATATTCCATACCAATATTTCTGAAATAAGATTGATTCAA